AAAAACTTCACTTTCAGTGGAATGCCATTTTTACTGAGATCATTTCAATGACTTAGCACCGTTCACCACTGAAATTTCTTCTATAAAGTATCTTGGCACGAAAATATACAGATACCTGAAGCATTCATAATCTAAATTGGCTTGGTGTAAATTCAACCAGAAATGGTTTGTCTGTTATTTTTTAAATGCTTTGGTTCAACAAGTATTCCTAAAAATGTTAAAGAAATGATCAGGGCATCTTTAAAAATGTCCATCTTTGAAGGACAAAAATAAAGATATTCCCACACCTAACACCCTTTTGATCCAGAGGCATCTGGATCAAATTCATGACGAAAAATTTACTTCATGGCAGTCAAAAGCCAGTTTCACACTAAATTATAACTGATTGAAACATTCTGCTTTCTTGGAGAAACCAGCCCCTTAATGCCTTGCTCATACAAGAGGATTCTCTGCTCTCCTCACCTATACAAACATGTTCACATTTATTCTTAACTGGTTAAATTTTAAGGTGTCAACCAGACCTTGCTACAAGAATAGCCCATTAAACATGGTTTATGATAAATGCAGCATGCTCATCTTCCATTCTTAACTAGTCAAAGAACTTTCCTGCTATCTATAGTCAAATAATTCAATGATTACAGCTCAGCAAAAAAAAGCAAGGTGCCTATGGGCCTGCTAATAAAGTCAGGGAAAAGAGTAATCCAGATATACTTCATTAGCTAAAACTCTTTGTTTTTAAATATTTTGTTCCTGGGAAATCTGGTCTAAATTTTTCTGAAATTTCAGGCTTCTACCCCAAAACTTATGTCACTGTACCTCAAAGTTAACCTTATTTGTGTTTCTGCATATAGTCATGGAGGTTGTGCATTGCACAGGGGTACCAATCACATTGTAAAAGTCATATATGTGAATACTTACAGTCACAATTTGTAAATTGGTAAATGACAGCAAGATGTGGGTTTCATAAATAAAATCAGTTTATTATAATAATTTTCCAACTAAAAATAACAATGTTTTGAAAAAGGAGCATAATATGTCCACTCAAACTAAAACACTGTACAGATAAGCAGTGATTCTGACAGAAACCAATTTAATTCTGATAAATCAGATAAATTAATCATTTGATAACATATATATAAAACAAGGGGCAGGAAAGTAAAAGGTCTGTTGAAAGGTTCTTACCAACAGAGAATAGAGTCAACCAAAAACCCAAACATCTCCCAGAAAAGTGATTTAAATCACTTTTTTCCAAGCTAAAAAAAAAAAGCCTCCTTATCCTATCAGTTTTGTCACAGCACATTTATAAACCAAGGAAAATAGGTTACAGAGATTTCCTCAGAGATAGCTTTTTTAATTAAAAAAATATGCCCAACTATATCTAACATAAAATAAAAAGAAAAACTACAAAAAAAAGTTATTTAATTCCATCTGTATCTAGATAAGAAATAGGAGAAAGAGAAGGACAAAAATAAAGGTTTGGGGTTTTTTTATATAAGCAAAGGAAGAGAGGAAGATTTAAAGCCAGGTGGGGGCTAAAGGAAGGGCAAGGAAGGAAAAGAGAGATACTAAAGAATAAAAAATCCAAAGATTTAAGTGTGTATTAGTCTGTTTTCACACTGCTGTAAAGAATAATTGAGACTGGGTAATTTGAAAAGGAAAAAGGTTTCATTGACTCACAGTTCCACACAGCTGGGGAGGCCTCAGGAATCTTACAATCATGGTGGAAGGGGAAGGAAGACACATCTTCTCTTAGTGGCAGGAGAGAGCACAAGGGGGGAGCTGCCAAACATTTTTTTTTGTCTTTGAGGCGGAGTTTCACTCTGTTGTGAGTCTGGAGTGCAGTGACGCAATCCCAGCTCACTGCAACCTCCGTCTCCAAGGTTCAAGTAATTCTCCTGTCTTAGCCTCCTGAGTAGCTGGGACTACAGGTGCATGCCACCATGCCCAGCTAATTTTTGTATTTTTAGTAGAGAATAATGGGGTTTCAGCATGTTAGCCAGGATGGTCTCAATCTCTGGACCTCATGAACCACCTGCCTCAGCCTCCCAAAGTGCTGGGATTACAGGCGTGAGCCACTACACCTGGCCTAAACACTTTTAAACTATAATATCTCATGAAAACAGCATGGGGAAACCACCTCCATGATCCAGTCACCTCTCACCAGGTCCCTCCCTGACACATGGGAATTACAATTTGAGATGAAACTTGGGTGGAGACACAGAGCCAAATCATATCATTCTGCTCCTGACTCTTCCCAAATTTCATGTTCTCTATATATTTCAAAACCAATCATGCCTTCCCAATGGTCTCCCAAAGTCTTAACTCATTTCAGCATTAATTCAAAAGTCCAAGGTCAAAGTCTCATCTGAGACAGAGCAAATCCCTTCCATCTAGGAGCCCATAAAATCAAAAGAAAGTCAGTTACTTCCAAGATACAATGGGGATACAGGCATTGGGTAAATGCACTCATTCCAAAAGGGAGAATTTAGTTAAAACAAAGGGACCACAGGCCCCATCCAAGTCCAAAACCTGGCCAGGCAGTCAATGAATCTTAAAGTTCCAGAATAATCTCCTTTTACTCCATGTCTCATATCCAGGGCACACTGATGCAAGAGGTGGGTTCCCAAGGCTTGGGCAACCTCACCCTGTGGTTCTGCAGCATACAGCCCCTGCAGCTGCTTTCACAGGCTGGCTCTGAGTGCCTACAGCTTTCCCAGGCACACAGTGCAAGCTGTCTGTGGATCTACCCTTCTGGAGTCTGAAGGACAGCAGCCCTCTTCTCGTAGCTCCACTAGGGAATGCCTCAGTAGGGACTCTGAATGGGGGCTCCAACCACACATTTCCCATCAACACTGCCCTAGCAGAGGTTCACCATGAGGGCTCCTCCCCTGCATCAGAATTCTGCCTGAACACCCAGGCATTTCTGCATATCCTGTGAAATCTAGGTGGAAGTTCCAAAACTTTATTCACCTGCAGGCCCAACAACACCTGGAAGGTGCCAAGGCTTGGGGAGTGCACCCTCTAAAGCAATTGATTCAGAAGCAATGACCTTTGAGTTGTACCTTGACCCCTTATAGCCACAGCTAGCATGGCTGGACAGCAGGGCACCAAGTCGCAAGGCTGCACAGTGCAGCAGGGCCGTAGGCCATTTTTCCTTCCCATGCCTGTGATGGGAGGGGCTGCCATAAAAATCTCTGACATGATGTGGAGACATTTTCCCCATTGTCTTGGCTATTAACATTCAGCTCCTCATTACTTTTGCCAATTTCTGCAGGAGGCTTGAATTTCTACCCAGAAAATGGGTTTTTCTTTTCTACTATTGGTCAGACTGCACATTTTCCAAATCTTTATGCTTTTAAACATAAGCTCCAATTTCAAATCATCTCTTTGTGAATACGTATAACTGTGTATTTCAGGAAAAGCCAGGTAACATTTTGAGTACTTTGCTGCATAGAAATTTCTTCTTTGCTGCTTAGAAATACCCTAATCATTTCTCTCAAGTTCAAAGTTCCACAGATTTCTAGAGCTCAAGGAAAATGCTACCAATCTCTTAGCTAAAACATAGCAAACGCAACCTTTGCTTCAGTTCCCAATAAGTTTCTCAACTACATCTGAGACTACCTCAGTCTGGACTTCTTTGTCCATATTACAATCAGCATTTTGGTCAAAACCATTCAACAAATCTCTAGGAAACTCCAAACTTTCCCACATCTTCCTGTCTTCTTCTGAGTCCTCTAAACTGTTTCAACCTCTGCCTGTTACCCAGTTCCAAAGTTGCTTCTATATTTTCAGGTTATCTTTATAGCAATACCCCATTGTCTTGGTACCAATTATCTGTATTAGTCTATTTTCACATGGCTATAAAGATACTACCTGAGACTGGGTAATTTATAAAGGAAAAAAGGTTTAATTAACTCACAGTTCTGAATGGCTGGGCAAACCCCAGGGAACTTACAATCATGGCATAAAATGAAGGTGAACAAGGCACATCTTCTCATGGCAGCAAGCAAGAGTGAGAACGCAAGGGAGGAACCGCCAGTTTTAAACCATCAGTTCTCATGAGAACTCACTCACTATCATGAGAACAGCATGGGGGAAGCTGCTCCCATGATCCAATCACCTCCCACCAGGCCCCTCTCCTGACTCATGGGATTACAATTCAAGTGAGATTTGGGTGGAGACACAGAGCCAAACCATATCAAAGTGTGCAGAAATAAAGAGAGGAGAGACGTGCAAAAGAGATACCCAAAGAAACGAGAGGTAAAAAGATCAAAAGAAAGGTTGAGTCAGTTCTTAGGTGAGGGTGATTAAAGAACAAACTGATTCGCTTCTGCTTTATTTTCCCTTGGCTTATAGGAAAAGCTACTTTGGCGTGCTAAATGCATCTGACCCACTCAGCTCAGCTTTTTAGCTATTCAATATTCCCACACATTATGAGATTTCTTTTTCAGTAATTCAACGGAAGCGTAGCTGTTCTTTTTATGATAGTTGCAAAGTAACCAAATAAAATGAAGCCAAGACAAAAAGATAAGAGTAAACTACTTTCCCTGCAAGAACTGGAAGGTTTGATGTTATGGGGACAGATGTGGACAAACAGAAAAGATGACAGAGTTGACATTCTGATTCCATAAAGAAGTATGTTCGATAGAGAATAATTAAAACCTATCATCCTAGCTATAGCAGAAAGAATCTACTGGGAGTCATTTAATTTATTTTATGTATGTAACATGGAATGATTAAATCAAGCTAATAGTATATTTGTCATTTTATTTCAATCATATAAGTGAGCTATCAAGGGACAACTTGGTCAGATACCTTAGAACACTGTTTTAACCAATTTGTTATTTATTAGTATTTCCAAATGCACCAGCTTGAATATGAAAAGAATAACCACCATGGTCATTCCACAGCTCACAAATGTGGACACAATACTCCTCACCCTCTTTGAGTCTGAAAAATGCAGAATATCTTCTCCTAACAGTTTATCTCATTCTCTGCAGTGCTCCTATATACCTAAGTGTGGGAAAAACTTTGAAGAATCCATGTCCCTGGTGAATGTTGTCATGGAAAACTTCAGGAAGTACCAACACTTCTCCTGCTATTCTGACCCAGAAGGAAACCAGAAGAGCGTCATTCTAACCAAACTCTACAGTTCCAACGTGCTGTTCCACTCGCTCTTCTGGCCAACCTGTATGATGGCTGGGGGAGTGGCGATTGTTGCCATGGTGAAACTTACACAGTACCTCTCCCTGCTCTGTGAGAGGCTCCAGAGGATCAATAGATAAACGCAAATGTGGATAAAATAATTTTTGTTAAAGCTCAAATACTGTTTTCTTTCATTCTTCACCAAAGAACCTTAAGTTTGTAATGTGCCGTCTGTTATGAGCTCCCTAATATATTCTTGTACGTAGAGCAATAATGCAAAAGCTGTTCTATATGCAAACATGATGTCTTTATTATTCAGGAGAAGAAATAACTGTTTCGTGTCAGTTGGTGGTTTCCATCATCTTATTTCTGTGCTGGAACTAGTACTTTCTTCTCTCATTCCACCAAAATAGGGCTCAGTTATTCATTTGCCAAGCTTTGTGAAGGAATGTAGGTGACATCAGTGTGATAGAGTCTGTGTTCTGAGTTGTCAGCTCTCTTGAAGACAATATTTTTCATCACTCATCGTTTACTAAAGCTACAGCCAAAAATATTTTTTTCTTTTCTTGTTCTAAACTGAGCCCTACAGCAAGTGAAGGGACCAGATTTCCTAATTAAAGGAAGTTAGGTGCTTTCCTTGTATTTTTTACCATATCACTGTAAAGAAGAGGAGAAACCCAGCCAGCTACTTTTTTTCCATCACTTTTTATTTATAACTTTAGATTTTTAAAATTAATTTCCAAAATATAAGCTGTTTTCATGAGCCAATTCTATACTATCTTCCCGTGATTTGTGTAGAAAACGAACAGACTCCTTTTCCATTTAAGACCCTGCTACTGTGTGAAGAGATGATACTTACAAGGAGGTGTCATTACCTATGAGCTGACTGAATCTTGGTAGGTGCTCCATTACAATCCAGAAAAGTCTATGTTACTGATATTTGTGTGGAAATCTTTATTTCATTTCAATTTAACTGTTAGATGGTAAAATTAAGATGCTACTTGCTGGTAAAAATTGGTGGACTGGTTTCAATGGGTAAATCTGTTGTGGCAAATTAATGTGTTGGAATATTGCTCTTTGGGAGTTTATGTTTAATGAATGTGTAGTATCTTCTTCTGACAACTGTTCCCTATTGGGATTTTAAAGCTATGTGCACAGAATATTTGTCTCTTCTACATGTTTTATTTTTCTATTTACGATTCCCTTTTTGTTGATATATTTTATACACTGAACAGATCTTTTTTCTAACACATATTTGAACTGAATAACAGACATAAAGCCTTCATTCACATTGCTATTTACTTACTGTGTCTGGGGGGAAATAGGTGGGATTGATTTCAAATAAAAACATTCCATCTTTCATTTAATATCAATATCAAAAGAAGAAGACAAACATCTATCTTTCTCATCCATATTTAAGTACCTTTTTGTAATGTAGTATCAAAGTTTTTTAGGTATTGTGAAATTTTACAAATCATTTGTGGAATGAATGGTAAAACTAATCTGATGAAATGGAAAATTATTCTGCAATATTGTAATTCATAGTTTGACTTTTCATAAGCAAATAACTCCCTAGGATGTAATCAGGACTTCAAATGTGTAATTAAATTTTTTTTTTAAATCTAGTAAATTGCAAGATTTGAATACTTCTTGCATTCTGAGCTGACAAGCCTATGGTAGTCCAAAAATTAGTATTTCGCTGTATTTAAAGGTATTTTGAGTGATTACAAAGAAAGTTTCTTAACACCCAAACACATACATACAACGTTGTGACCATTTGAAAATAGGATGAAAAACTGTTTTATTTCTACTCCACTTAAAGAATATAATTCTGAAGATACTGAAGAAATATTTGAGACTATAGAGGTGAAAATGTGCCATCTTTAATGTTCCTTAGGCTTCCCTTTGAGAGATCCATCAGTGAAATATATGTGAGTGAAATTATTGGATTATTTTTACTTAACTCTGAATTTTTATTAAAAATTTCCAAATAATGTTTAAGACAACAATGTAGAAATTTTTAAATAATGACACCAAAAAGAGATTAATTGGTGCCTTCTAGAATCCCAATACAGCAACTGCCCCTTCAAATAATTTAGATGTATACACAATTAATGCTCATTATTAAAGGAGAAAGATCTAGGACTAATCATAATGTTTTAAATACTTTGCACAGGTGAACTAATTTAATCGTTTAACAACCCTATTGGAGGAGGGATTATTGTCTCATCCTTCAGATGAAAATGCTGAAGCTAAGAGATGTTAAATAATTTCCACATGTACTAAGATGGTGAAGAGCTAAGAGAATAGTCTGTAGCTTTCCTGCTGTGGTGGCCATTTCCATGACTTTGGAATCTTTCAGATAACACTGGGGATGCTGAGGCTTGGGAAAAGATCATAGGAGTGAAGAGCATGGAACTGAAAGTCAAAGACTTCACTGGAGATAAGGTGACTGGATGACTGGAAAGTTCTCAGTTAGTCTCTTGACTTCCTTGTCTGTAAAATTAGGAGGTGAGATCAGCCAATCACCAAGGTCCCTTTTAACACTCACGGTCCGTCCCAGGCATGTGGAAGGAGGAACGAGTACCATTTGCTAACTTCAGAGCTCAGGTGTGATTCTCAGACAGAATCTGTACATATCCATCTGTGGATGAGAAAATCGCCTTTCCGCTGATATTCCCAGTAAGTCTTTCCTTGTTAAGCCCTAAGGCTGTATTTCCATCTGCCAGAAGCAGAGCCCTGATCTCCATATTATTCAACAAGAATGACTTCCCCAGATGGTATAAATGTCTACACTTCCAAATCACTTCCATTATCCAATTGGCACATGCCATCTAAAACTTTATTGATTTCAGAGTCTCTGAGTTGCAATCATATTAAAACCCAGAAATGGTAAATGCACCAATGATTGCTTTCAAATAGCCATAATAAAATATATGATTCTGTAGAAAGCTACTGGCCAAACACTAGCTGATGGTAATGACAGTGTAGCAATCATAAAATGCCTCTTATGTGGACATGTGACATTTAGGGTTCTAGCAGGCTACCCTTTACCGTTGCTGTGAATGACCAAAAAATGACTATGTATGGCATTTATAAAACAAGTATTATTTTCAGTATGTCAAGCCATAAATTTCTTACCACGTTTCTGTGGGTGAAATAGCTTAACACTGTAATCATTCCACTGGCATTTAAAGTGAGGCCAGCAGGATAGCAAAACAATATGAGGAATTGATTCAAGTGAGTTAAAACAATCATTTTAAAGGAATGGTTGGTTATAACACAAGAATAGCTAAATTCCCTTCTCCTCCACAAAAGCACTGAAATGAACAGTGTTCAAGCAAGAAAGGGGGTTCTCATTGTGCATGTAAGGAAGAAAGGATGATTGAAGGTAGACTTCTGCTCTATTCTCTCTCCCCTGTAAAATACTTTAGTAAGAATAGTCACAGCTCTGCGATAACCACTTCCATGTGTGGGCCATATGGGAAAGTAGACTCAGGAAATAGTTTCAGGACTCTTCTGAAAAGTTTGTCAGCCTGATGTGCACTGCAGGACTGAATAAATAACTTCTGTACTGAATCTGCTCTGCCCTTCCATATTTGAAGTAACTGTAAGAAATAATACAAAGTATACAACACTGCCTTATATTTAAGAATGCCTTTGTAACCTACTAGAAGGGTCACCAAACACACATGAAATAAAAAATAGAGAACAACAGTTAGGTATCTAATCCACATGGCAGGGGATGATATTTACAAAGTATTGGTATAGGGCTTAAATGGCTTATGTATGTAAATATCAAGCATTGTATAAAGCACTTAATAGGCTTAGTAGTAATAATAGCAGTTACTGTAATTAATAATAAATGTGCACGTGGCATTAGTATGCCCACTAGTAGTATATAGTCTCTTGAAGCTAGAATAGCTCTCAAATGTCTTTTTGCCCAAAACACACATCAATAAATGAATTCCTTCTGTAAGATCTTAAGCAGGAATTATCTAGCAATAGAAATGGTTACTACCTGAATCCTGTCAGTGATGAGTTAGGTCACCACTTCATGCTAAAATGTTTTCCTTATAACAAGTTGAAATCTGTCTCCCTGTAATATCTACCCACCAAATCTGCACAAAATAAAATTAATACTCCTGCAGAGACTTATTTTATTAGTGTTATTTTATTGAAATGGAGGAGGGGATGGGGAAGAGCCATTTCCATTTGTTTCCAACATAAGACCATGAAAAATAGCCCATTCAGATGGGATTATGACATAAGGGAAATTTATGAAGGTAGCACAAAGGATATCAATTTTAAAAGGTTAAGAATATATCCATTAGAACCCAAATGTTCATGTGTGAATTAAACTGATGAGCTAGCTAAATCCTTCTGATGTCCGTGCTAGTTTTAATCACGCACCACCTCTTAAATATGACTTGACCTTCTGAAAAATAACCCTGCTGAAACTCTACATTACATTCTAATTCAACTTAATGACAACCAGATTGAGAATACTTGAGAGCATAGCAATGCTCCTAACAAAATGCTGCTATAATTGCCATGGGTTTGTCTTGGCTAAGGCACCACGAACTCTGCAGTGCAATGCCAAGGAATTGGAAGAGAATGTCAGTCTGTAAACTCCAGCTGTGATTTCGGGATAAGTGTTCCATTTAAGTGGAAAAAGAAGTCGTTCTCTCAAATAATATAATCACTTAATTAGGGCTTCCAGAACTGTTCCTTAACTTTAAGACAAATTTGATCTCCAAGCCCTTGCAAGGTGTAGTATGACTTGTTACCAACATAGTATATTAAGAGACCATAAAGAAAGCTTCAAAGTCTTCTACACCCTCTACACAGCTTTACCAACTAGTATATTTACATTGCTAAAAACCTATTTAGGTATCAGACTCCACTTCTCTTCATAAAAACCTCTCTTCCCCACCCCTCCCCCAGCTTTTTTCCTTCTTTTGACTGCATTTCTCATGGCACACCAGCAAAGATCATCTCCAGCAACTACACGTTCACAAAATCCCTATTTCTATAGTTACAGAAGGAGAAAGCCCCAGTATTAATACAAATTGGCATATATAAATTGGCATTTAATATAAATAAGTTAATTAAATTACTATAAATTGGCAATTAATAAAAACAGGCAAGAGACTAAGTTGTGAGTTCTCTTTGCATCACCTGTCCACTGCTGGGCCCACCAGTGTGGCTCAGAGGATAGCAAACTCCTTTGGGCCAGACTTACAGCGTAACATTACATGCCCACTTCTGTGGCGATGGGCAGGGCATGTGAGTAGCTGCCATGCTAAGTGGAAGGTCAGGTGATTCCTCAAAGGTCAACTGGCGTGTGAAAACAACAGAAGGAGTTCTGGGCAGGCAAGAACAGCAGATGTCCACGGCAGAAAATGTGAAGCAAACTCACGCCAGATTCTTGTCCCAAAATCTTCTCCCAGATTTCGGGTGAAGGAAGAAAAGTGTCCCATATATATGGGAATGGGAAGGAAAGCAAGTATTACTGAGAGGTAAAGCAAGTCCCCTTAGAAAAAGATGGCAGGTAACTAAAGCAAAAGGGCCAGTGCTCCACCTTTACTTTGCAATTTTTCCGTGCATGACTCACTCAGTAATCACAGAATTAATTTAAAAGGGGGAAGAAGTATTTCTGATTTTCACTACATGAGAGATGTGGGAATATTTTGATTTTAGCAGAAGACAAGAAGTCCCCTTAGAAAAAGATGGCAGGTAACTAAAGGAATTGATTAGTTAATTGAAAGATTGCTGAGGAATTGGATGAAAATGCAATGTTGTATTATCAATGTTTCGCATAACTGGCAAGAGATGAAGTTACAAGTGGGAAAAAAAGGGACGTAACAGTGAATCTCTTTTTCAAAGCAAACACTTGGGTGTCTGAAACTCATCAATAATGGCAAATTAAAAAATGTCTTCATAGAGAAATACTAACCAGAGAATTCACAACTGATAGAATAAGAATTTATAGGTAAACAAAAACTAGTTTAAGAGAAGGGAAAGGAGTGATGATATACGAGCAACGATTCTGAATTTGAATAATATAATTTAAGCAACCATTACCATTCACCAGATACTAAGGAAATTCTCTGCAACTTCTTAAGGCTGTTAGCCCTGGGGTTGAGTAATGCCTATTTGTTCTGCACAGATTCAACTGCCCGCTTCCCTGCTTATTTTTGAGCAAATCAACATTCAGGAGCATGAAGAAGATAAAGGAATGAATTCTCCTTCTCCCTACCTCTTAGGGGTTTTTTCCCACCTCATAACATTTAAGTAAGTAAGTACTCCTTGGACTGTCCAGTGATATTTCTTATCACAGATAAATCAACAGAAAGGTTACTCACCAGGTGGAGCCCCACCTGCTATCTGCAACACTGTCGCTATTTTGACACCTCAGCATCCATAGGATAACCTCACCTAAAGTCTGCCCAAACCCATCAGCCTCCTCTAGTTGGAGAATCACCAAATCTCAACCCTTTTACGTGCTGCATTAAAATTCTAGCAGTTTCCACCAGGCAGCTGCAAACTCTGACACTTAGTTCCTTCTCATGGTGAGCAAACAAAATGGGCTCTCCCTGTGCCTTCTTGAGC